ACAGCCACCGGCTTCCCCAGGCACCGCTTCCTTCGGCTCCGTCGGAAACCCTGCCCGGAGCGCCTTGGGAACACGGGGGCCAAACACGATACGGCCAGTTTAAAGGACGCCAAAGAAGGGCTCTGGCTTGAGCATCTTGGCCACCCACTGCAATTGCTTTTTAAACGTTTAGAGCAGCGGCACGTAACTAACTTGTAAGTCAAGTCAGGTCTTAGAAACGTTTCTACTCAATTTTGGGACTCAGAATTACTTTGTTTTGTCAAAATAAACAAAGAATTTAAATGGAACCTCCTTTAGGTAACGAGAGAAGAAAAACGTTAACTATTTAACCTGGGTAGAGTATATAAAGGAACATTTTTATCCTCAGATATTTAAAGGGAGCAATTACTCTAAATTACAGGAAGATATATTGAAATGGTTTAACTTGCAAAATAACACGATGTGGCATGTCACAATAAAATGAGAGCTAGAACTAGAGCTTGCGGCATGGTTTATAGTCCCCAGGGGAAGCATTACGGCTCTCAAGCACACAGGAACATATGTTTGTTTCTGCTCTGAGTTAACAGCTTCCCAAATAATTGACAAGCATCAGGGCCGAGCTTAGGGATCAAAAGGTATCCGTGAACTCTGAGCAAGACCAAGGTGTCCAAACGCATGCTTCCCTCCTGCATGATTCGGTGGAGATAAGGGAAAAATCCTTAAAACCGGTGTCCCCTCACTTGCTATCTGCATGTACGCTAGGAAAACCTCAAGACTATCCGCGCTGCGTCGCAGAAGATGCCGCTCAGAGCGGCTGTGCAGACCAGAGTCCTCCCTCGCGGCAGGACGAAGGGAAGGACGGAGGGCCACCAGCCTCATCACTGACACGGCTACGCAACCCCAGCCACCCCCCAAAAAAATGGAATCACAAGAAAAACCTGCTCCCTCGCGGCGAGCGAAACGGTGCTGCCACAGTTGCCGACTTCACATCCCTGTGAAGGTGCGGATCTCATCTGAAGGCAGCCACAACGCGTTTAGGATGCGCGGTGTCCAAAAGCCTTAAACACAAGCGGTTCATAATGAGAACGTGGCAGGCTCGACAGCAGATGCCGAAATCTTAAACCCTCTGCCTTATGATAGTGGCGGCAGGCAGGTCAGCCACTCAAAAGGAGCAAGCAATTTCAGGGCATCTTCTCTTTCATATATAATTTTATTTCTGGTTATAGAAACAAATGCTAAGAGGAGAAGCAACACTCCCCAACCACATACATCAAATTAAGGTAACAGAACAGAACAGTTAAAATAAATGGAAAAAAAAAAGTAGAAATTTAAAACTTTGTTATAGCTTTAAAATATTAACGTTCTTGATACATTAGAAATCACATTCAGATTTCAAATTACTTAAAAAAACAAAAAAGTATGGCTCCATATTTAAAAAAACAAAAAACAAAAAAAACCTGTATCCCACTTGATGTGAAAATGCAGGTCCTGCTCCATGGATACTGCTATTTCTCCTCTTCTCCGGTGAGCAGCAGCCTCCTCGGCGCTGCCAGGGTGCATTCCCACCCCGCTCGGTGCGCGTCCTTAAGCATCTCATGGGGCAGTGCTGCACCACGGCCAGAAAAAGATGACAAAATTCACACCCATTGCCCCAGATGGAGCTTTCTCCCTTGGGATACACACCTGCTTTTTAAAAAGCACTGATTGCAAACACAAGTCACAAAAAAATACTTTTGATATCAGCTGTAAAAAAAAAAAAAATCTGGCTGGAGGTGTCTTGTACAGGCAAAAACAGGAACTGAAATGCAAGCATGGCTTTAGTTCTCCCCTCCCGCATCGCGCTGCAGCCTTCCCCGAAGGACTCAGCGGGAACGCGTCCACATACAACTGGGGGAGATAAGATTTTTTTTTTTTTTAAAGCAAATATTCCGAATTTGATCAGAACTTCCAGCTTTATGATCCATTGCTTGCATACGTGTTTTGAGTTATCTCTAAGCAGCCTTTAACAGACCTTTGGATAGCCGCAGGCACCAGTTAACTGCTCCTCTCCAGGGCTCGGAGGCTGGCGAGCAGGCAGGGCGGTGCCAGTTTCATCACGGTGCGAACAGCACGTCCAGATCCCAAGACAATACACTGACTCAGATGAATTTTGAATTTTAAAAATCATTCCATTTTTTAAACCATTCTGTTTTTCCATTGTTCATTGTTTTCCATACTGGAATATTTAAGTAAAACTTATACATTCTCTGTTTTTTTCCTTTAAAAGAAGATCAT